CCAAACCCACAAAGAAAGAAAGAAAGAAAGAAAGAGAGAGAGAGAGCGAGAGAGAGAGCTGAATCACAGCTCACAAACACTACCCTCCCAACTGGAGAGCAGAGAGCAGGTTCCAGCAGGCAGCCCACCCTCAGGCATCCACTAGCGTCAGTCCATCGTGCAGCGCGCGCTTCCACATGTAGTAGGTGGAGCGTGCTGTGAGGGGAAAGTGGGCACTGAACTCCTTGTAGGTCGGGAAGGTTTTCGATTCAAAGCGCTGCTGCAGGAACAGTTTGGCCTGAGCTTTGAACTGGGCAGTGGCAATCACATCCATCACGAACATCCGGCTGTTGGCTCTTTCTGACATGGCATAGCCTGAGATTGTGGCATTGTAGGGGGTGACTGATGCCTGCTTGTCTAGATGCCTGGGAGCCACTTCCATTTGTGACTGTGGTTTGATCCCAGGCTCTGGTTTTCCAGGAGCCTCAGAGATGACCTGACTCTGCTGTTGGGATGAGCTGGTCCAGAGAGGATGCTTGTTCATCTGCTGGCTGCTTCTCTTCCAGAACCAATAGGCTGTGGAGGAGAAGCCTGGATAGCGCAGGCGGAACTTGCAGAATGGCAGCCGCCACTGCTGGACATGCCTCTTGGCCATGTCTCTAAGCTGCTTTCTCCAATTATGGAGAGAGGGTTTGAGCTGGAGGAGACTTCTGGGCTCTGGCCGGTGTCCGTTCAGCCTTTTCCTGCCAGGCAGATTTCCAGGCTTGAATGGCAGGTATGCCTTCCCTTTCACTAGGGGCTTCTGGCTGACTGAGGGAGGCTGAGGGGGTTTGAAGTTGGGGTTCCCCTTAATGGCTTTTCTCCGCCAGTTGTAGTAGGTGGACCTGGAGATACCAGGGAAGCTGCGCTTGAAGCACCTGTAGGGCACCAGAGTGTTCATGGCAATGCATTTCTCTAGGTATGACTTGGCTCCTTGCATGAAGATTCCTGCTTGGTTGGGCTCCAGGGGAGGGATCTTTGACCTTAGGCCCCCCTCTGACTTTGCTGCATCATCCCTGTCTGGGTGGGGCTTTTTTTGATGGTCTTCATGAGGCTCCCGTGACACCATGGCCTCAGCTGGAGCAGAGGTATCGCCGCCATTGACCATGCTCTGCATCTCGTGCTTCCAAGCATAGTAAGTGGAGCGGGAGATTTCTGGGAACATTTGTCGGAAGTGCTGAAGAGGGATCACATTGCCCTCTTGGAAGCAAGACTGCAGGAAGTGTTTGGCTGCAAACCTGGTGGCTGCTTTCTGCCTGTGCTCCCGGGACTGGCGCTTCCAGCGGTAGAATGTGCTCTTGGTGATGCTGTAGCGGTCACACAGGTTAAAGTAGGTCAGCCGGGGGTCACTCTTCAGCAGTTCCAGAGTCTGGACTGGCTGGACTGGAGGCTCTGGGGGAGGGCTTGTGGGTTCCAGCTCTTCCAGGCCTACCACAGCCACGAAGTACTGTGCTTTGAAGACCTGTGAGGAGAGCTGCTGCCCTGACCACATGATGTGGAGCGTGGAGGTCTGCGGGCCACACTTCCTGGGCCGGATGAGGCGGTTGAAGTATGGCCGGATCTTCAAGTTGCTCATGGGGTAGATGGAGTAGATGTTACACTGCAGCACCGAGGCCAGGGCGTAGACATGCCACATGTTGGCAAAGGTGCCAGGGAAACAAGTGGCCTTGATGTCAGCATCAAAAATGGCCTCGAGGATGGCCAGAGGCAGGCTGGTCATCTCAGGGGATTCCTCGGTGCAGAGGGAGTAGCGGGCAGCCTGCAGCATCACCTTGGAGTCAATCATGCCGTTCAGGTAGTAATGCTTGTGCAGCAGCATCTCCACAACTGTGCGCACCTGCAGCTCCAGACTCAAGCTAGGGTTCCCCCATAGCAGCACACTGGCTGCCTCAAACAGGTGGTTCCCCTCCCCCTTGCAGACCAGAGGCAGCATGTTGCTGGGGGCATCCTCCGGATACAGGCTTCTTGCCACCCGGTCAACTTCCAACTCTTCCTGGAACTGCCTCCCGCAGTAGCTGGGTAGGGAGAAAGAGGACAAGGTCCTCTCAGCCTCCAGGGCTGCACTTGTTAGTCCCTCTAGCCCAAAGCATTCGGTGGCCTCCTGTAGCTCCTGCAGTACAGACTGCACTAGCTGGTGCCGCTGGATCATCCTGCAAGACAAGAATTCAAACGATGTGAGCTCCAGCTCTCCAGCAGAGACCATGCCTACCAACCCCCGACCCCCACTCTCAAGGGGGCTGCTCTTGCTCTCAGTCCTCCAGATTCAAAGGAGGAATCCTGGGTCACCACACACAAACATGGGCAAGGGATAAATCTTGTGTTGCTCTCAAGTGACCTCTTGTGGCCAATGTATAAAATGGCACTGATGGTCTCCAGAGAGGACAGGCTGGCCAGAGTGATTTGAAGCAAGGTGTAGGAGAGTACAGCTTGAGGGCGGGAGGCAAGGATGGAAGAGCAGGGGGTGCTGCAGACCAGGAGTTTGGTGCCTGGGCAGAGCTGTGAAGAGGAAAAGCGTACACCTTGTCTGTTCTGTGCCTGGCTTTGTGCTCAGGCCCACAATAAGCCCAACATTTACCTCAAACGGTAAAACCTGGGAATCTCAAAGGGAAAAAAAGGTGTATTCATTTTATTATCCAACAACAGCACCGGGAGAGGGGAATGGCCACTCCCCTCAGTCACCAGCTTTCCTGTGAGAATGAGTTTGTTAGAAAGCAACATTGCACACAGGGCTGTACAAAGCACAGAGGAAACACAGAACCTGTTCTCAAGGAGCTTTCTACCAAATAAATGGGACAGTCTAATTCAGAGCACTCCCTCTGCCTGGTCAGGTGAAGCAGTGAAGCCTCAGACAATGATCCCAGCTGTGAAAAGAACAAAGCAGCTCTCGATACCGATCCTGGTGAGTCTGTACCATGACAGTGCAATACACATCTTCCAACTTCTGCAATAAATTGTGGTTGTAGTTCCCTTTACGCCACCAGGTGGCACATGCCACTCACTGTAGAAGCATGGAGTAGGGCTAAGTGTATGAAGCAAGAGTGATTTCAGGAATCTAGGACCCAAGTCATCCTTGCCCTTTGGCACTGGAATAAAGGCCCTCCTGATGAATAATGCCAGCACAAAGGGCCTCTGCAATCCCTCAGCAGGAACATTCCAGGGTGGGAGGAGCAGGAGGCATTCCCACAGTCCAGTTATTCCCTGCTGTTGCAACGCCTACAGACACTATGGCAGCGGGAGGAGGCAGGAAAAGGGTGCAGCTGAGGCTTAGCCTCTGCCAAGGGCTGAGGAGGCAGCCCCAGAGTTAGGAGAGTGCCAGTTGCCTCCCCTCAGTGCTGGCACAGGGATGATCTGGCTGTAGACCCTAGTCATTGTGGAAACTTTAACAACAGGATATCAAAGCCTCCTCCATCTCTCTACATCCAGGCCATCTTGTTGGGTTTAGTAGTGTGTGGGTGGTGACCTGTGATATACAGGAAGTCAGACTAAATGATCTAGTGGTCCCTTCTGGCCTTAAACTCCGTGTCCAAATCCTGTCCCTCCTTGCTTTATACCAGCCTGAGAGCCAGCTATTTCTCTAATCACAAGCCAAAAACTCCAGTCCAGTCCCTTATTTCCCCTCTTGGTTACTCTACACTCTTTCCTGGCATCCCTGGCACCCACATAGCCCCCCCACCATACAGTCCATTAAAGCTGTATTCCATGATCTCACAACATGCCTCTCTCTTTGTATCCCTCCACTGGCTCCTCTTCTCCACCATATCAAATTCAAACTTCTTATCACTCCTTCAAGGCCCTGCATAATCCTGTGCCTCCTTATTTATCTGCCCTACACTCTGACAGCCACCCCTTCCCCGCCACACCCCTAAATGATGCAGCCTCAACATGCTGTTTCTTTGTTTCTCCTACAAGTATAGCTGTGCCTTCTTCCATGCCACCTGCTCTGCATGGCACATCCTTTCTTAGCTGGTCCACAAGGTCCTCATCCTCTCCTCATTCAGAGCCTGGCTGAAGACTCACCTCTATTGTGATGCCTGCAAGTAACCTTATTACTAATGCCTAGAGGCTCTAGCCAAAATTGGGCCCTATCGTGCTAGGCATTGTGAAATGTCAGAGGGAGAGAGTCCCCTTCCCCCAAGAGCTTACAGTATCCACAGATATGACAGACAGAAGGTGGGACAGACACCCCAGAGGTGAAATCCAAACCAGGACTAGGACTCAACTCTTCTGACTGCTAGTCAGGTGCTCTGTCCATAGACCACACTGACATCCTGAGGCAGTGAGGCCTAGTTGTGAGGCAAACATTACCTTGACAAAACAAAGGCCACCATGCTACTATTAACCCTTTGTTTTGTTATGCTAGGGCCAAGTCACCTCTGTACTGGTTTCCCTTTTCCAGGGGTAAATGGTGAGGTGGCAAAATTTGCAGACAATTCAAAATTACTCAAGATAGTTAGTCCAAAGCAGACTGTGAAGAGTTACAAAGGGGTCTCACAAAACTGGGTGACTAGGCAACAAAATGGCAGATGAAATTCAATGTTGATAAATGCAAAGTACTGGTAATGCACATTGAAAAACATAATCCCAACTATACATACAAAATGGTGGGGTCTAAATTAGCTGTTACCACTCAAAGAGATCTTGGAGTCATTGTGGATAGTTCTCTGAAAACATCTGCTTAATGTGCAGCGGCAGTCAAAAAAGTGAACTGAATGTTGGGAACCATTAGGAAAGAGATAGATACGACAGAAAATATCATAATGCCACTATATAAATCCCTGGTACACCCACATCTTGAATACTGCAGATCTGGACGCCACATCTCAAAAAAGATATATTAGAATTGGAAAAGAGAAGAGAAGAGCAACTAAAACAATTAGGGGTATAGAATGGCTTCTGTATGAGGCAAAATTGAAAAAAATGACTTTTCATCTTGGAAAAGAGATGACTTGGGGGGGGGGGGGGGAGAGGATATGATAAAGGTCTATAAAATCTTGACTGGAGAAAGTGAATAAGAAGTTATTTACTCCTTCACATAACACAAGAACTAGGGGTCACCCAATGAAATTAATAGGCTGCAGGTTTAAAACAAATGAAAAAGTACTTCTTCACACAATGCACTATCAACTTGTGGAACTCTTTGCCAAGGGATGTTGTGAAGGTCAGAACTATAAGAGGGTTAAAAAAAAAAACCCAACAAAATAAAAACCCACAAACTAGATAAGTTCATGGAGGATAGGTCCATCAATGGCTATTATCCAGGATGGGCAGGGATGCAACACCATGCTCTGAGCCTCTGTTCACCAGAAGATAGGAGTGGACGACAGGGGATGATCACTTGATTGCCTGTTCTGTTCATTCCCTCTGAAGCACCTGGCACTGGCCGCTATCGGAAGACAAGATACTGAACTAGATGGACCATTGGTCTGACCCAGTATGGCTGTTTTTATGTTCTGGCTGGTCTCAGATTGTGGGCTCTTCAGGACACGGCCTTCTTTTATGACTGGAAAGCACCTAGCACATTACAGGCAGGATTGAACGTCACCATCAGCATTGTCACAGGGGAAAGTGTCCAGGGGGCCTGATGCAGAGATAGGACAAAGCCCCACAGCTGGGAGCCAGACTTGCCCGCAAGTCCTAGTACAGTTGCATCTGGGTTTGCCATTTGGGCTCAGGGCTACATCTGTATTCTCACTGAGGCTGTCAGAGAGGTGCTTTGTGAAGCAGTGTTCAGACAGGCCACACATCTTGGTCACCTGTTTTCATAGGCACCAACTCCATACTTTCATAGGTACGGAAAAAAATTAGTGGGTGCTTAGCACCTGCCGGCAGCCATCTCCCACCCGCCACGATCAGCTGTTCTGCAGTGTGCAGGAGGTGCTGGGGAGAGGGGGATGAGCACAGCTGGGGTGTGCTCGGGAGAGGGGGCAAAGTGGGTTGGGGTGGGGGCAGGGCCTGGGTCAGAGCAGGTGTTGAGCATCCCCAGGGCAAGGAGGAAGCAGGCACCTGTATCTGTTTTGGCCACCCCATCACCTCTGCTCCTTAGGTTTGTTGGTTTGTTAGGAGAGCAAGATTTGCCCGTCACTCAGGAGGGTCTTGCAGAATGTGTGTCAATGAAATCCTTTTGCAAGGGCTGACACAGCCCACCCCACAGGACTTGACTTGCCACATCCTGCCACTGCAGCCTCCACTCCCAGCCCAGGGAGCGAGGTGGCCATTCCCCATCAGGTTGAATGTGCTACCCCCACACCAC